TTTTATGTGAGCCGCCCTGAGTCCCCTCAGGGAAAAGGGCGGCCTACAAATATTAATAAAATCAAAAATCAAATCAAAAGTGATTTTGCTCAACAACCATGTTGCTTAGCAACAGAGTTGCTGATTCCAATTATAGTCATTAAGCTTCTGGGTAACTCAAGACCATATTTCAGAAATAATAGTGGCTTATTTTCCAAAACTATCCCATTAAAAAAATGACACTTTTGCAAAGATGCATTTCTCAAAGAATAAACATACAGTGAAGTTGATTGGGATGGCCTGATTGAAGTAGATCCACAGTCTCCGGAGCCATGAGGTAATTTAGGTGAGGATGGAAGAGATGAATCTGTGACTTCTTCTATGTCAGAATGGGAGGAAGGAGGTTTTGATGACTTCTTCTTCCCAAAAGCTTGTTTGAATGAACTCCTTAGCTAGGAGAAAAGAAAGGAACATCAATATCTTTGACAATTTAGCTCTCCTCATATTTGAGAGAGTTCTTGTGTGAGGTTAGTTTGTAGAGGCCAACTAGCTACTGCCTGAGGTAAGTGTATAGACAAAGCAGAACATTAACATGTGCAACACAGTATCTTTAGAAACATGGCAGGGTGTTTTTTAAAATTAACTGAGGACTGTGTTATAGGAAATATGCACAATCAAACTGTACTGATAAACAGATACTGATTTAAAACCCCACACCTGTTGTGAAACACCTGCTTTCTGGCATTCACTTTAAGATGATCGGTCTTAAATAAGTACATTTTTTAAACAGTCACTGGCTTATAAAATACACTGAATTCCAATCAATATGACATTGTGATTTATTTAAGGGAGGAGCCATTTTGTCCCAGAAATTTTAGATGTCATAACTTCCACAGTAGCATTGATTAGAAATAAGCATTTTGAAGCTGCAGTATTTGCTTTTCCACTGACAAGAAGCTGAAAGGGTTGGAAACAGAAAGCATTTGCTTGAGTTCTTTTAAAGACGCAAGTTCATGTATGCAAGCATGGCCTTTATTGTTTAAAAGCTCTTATCCATTATTGAAAGGTTCAGAATAGCCAAACAGCCATTTATTTCAATAGTTGAGATGGCAAAAGCTAGGTCTCTAATAAGCACTATATCTTTTAGGTCCGAACTGTCAAAGACTTCTTATAAGCAAGCAGATTACTTAAACCAAGGGGAAAATATGATCCCCAAGTAGTTCTTTTATTACCTTCAGTTAAATTTGGAATATTTTCTTTCATAAGAGTCAGTTCAAAAATAGAATTGGATATATGTATCTATTTTATTTGCTAGAACTTCAAATTATTTGATATATATATATATTTCCCTCATCAGAATTTTTAACTTCTGTTGGTAAAAATATCATTTTGTATATTTTTTTCTTAAGATATACAGCTTGTATATGATTTTCACTATTACCTGCATTTTTGTAATATCTGCTAGTATCCACCTTTTCATTTGCAGTTTTCTCTAATGTGTGTATTTTGACAGATATTTTGTTTGAAGAACTGCATTGCACTATTTGGAGAAGGGCCAAAATAGAGGGAAAATATTGCATTCCAGTTGGCATGTTACTTTGGAAAGCAGAGATTGGTTTGTATGAAGTTGAATCAACTTTCTCTTCCATCCCTGTTCAAGAACTGGGAGGCTAAGAGCTGGTTAACCATCATCCAGCATTTATTTTCGCCATTTTATGTTTTCTAATAAGAAAGAAATGGATTTTGGCGACACTTCCCCTTTCCAGATTTAAAGTTGGAGATAAAATGAAGAGCAACATTAAGGAGACATAAAGGATAATATTTCAGAAGGGTACAAAAGCCTAATGCCAAAATGAATAGCAATCATGCCAAGATAGAATTCTTTGAGATGCATGCCAAATTTTCCAGGATTTTATATTCACCTCACTTCCTCTAGAGTTCACCTTGCAGAAACATGAAAGAGTGTGCAATTACAAATCAAGGGAATGACGTTGGAATCAGTATTTTTAAAATATTACCTGTGTAATAAACATATTTTAAACAATAAAAAGTATTTTCCTACTTTTATGTCAGTAAAATTTGAGTTCTTGAGGTTTGTCTCTCAATGCAAGACCTTTATCTTTCTTTATTTTTTCAAGATATTTACTACATTTCTTTCATGGAACAATAAACTACCAAGAATGTCTACAGAATGTGGTTTCAAAAAAAAGATAGCATCGGCAAGAATGTGATAAAAGTTATGCTGCTTTTAATGCATGACAAACATTAAAAAAAATACAAACTTCAATTGCAACTTTGTGGCTGCTATCTTGACTTTTTAACCATATTTCATGGATCATCCTATTAAGTACTTTGGATAATTAATATATTGTATATAGTGAACAAATATAGTAACTTGTGAAGCCTGTTATTATGTAGTCATATATATATATATATGTGTGTGTGTATGTGTGTGTGTGTGTGTGTGTGTGTGTGTGTTGTATTTGAGCTGATAAATAAATAAAGGGAGAC